CCTCCCTAAGACTCATCTTTCCAGAAGTGTGAACCCACAGGCTAAAGAAGCTCCATGAACCCCGGTCATAAGAATCATGACAAACACTGCACCAAGTCAGGTCATATCCTATTACCCCAAACTGCTGATAATTTTTTAAAAATCCTCAAAGCGGCTGGAGAAATAAGACACACACCTAGAGAGGAGGAAGGTACGAGTGAGAGCTGAGTCTCCTGCTGGCCCGTAGACAGTGAGGAAACATCGTTGACGTTTGAAGGAAAATACCTGCGAACCTAGAATTCTTTACCAAAGAGGCTATCTCCCCAAAATGAAGGTAAAAGAAAGACTTTTTCATCCAGAAGGTGTCTCCAGCCGTTGGCACCATGAGAAACGCAAACAGAGGAAAATCACAGGGTGGACCTGAGCCCACGTGAGGGGCGGGCGGCATGAGCACGGCAGGTGGGTGGGAGTTCACTGAGCCCTAATAAGACAGCTGAGCCCTGGCCGGGTAGCTCAGCTGAGCGCCGTCCTGTGCACCACACGGTGGCAGGTCCGATTCCCAGGCAGGGCACATACCCAGGTTGGGGGTTCAATCCCTGGGTGGGGGGGCGTAGGAAAGGCAACCGATTGACGTTTCTCTCTGTCTCCCTTAGTCTCTCTAAAATCAATAAAGAAAAGGGGAGAAGGGGGGGATAACTGAGGGGGTCCCAGGCAGTGGGACAGGAGGGGCCGAACTGGCCCAAGAGCTCGCAGGCTGCACATCTATACAGACATACAACCACTCCCCAGAGAACCCAGGGCCCGATGAAGGGCTCCAAACAAGGACCACAGAAGGGGACCAGATGGAGGTGCTGCCGCATCGCCCCCCAGGATCTGTCCGCTTCTGAGATGGGCAGGGCGGTGAGGCCTGGAGTATGCCCAGCTTCTGAGGGTGAGCCCAGGGCTCTTGCTCCCTGGGGTGGCCTGGCTGACAGATGCCACCCAGAGAGCAGCTCGAGGGGCGTCACGGGGCAGGGGTGGCCCCATGCCCAGGGGAGGGGAGGGGCCCACTGCTGGATCCCCAAGGGGTTGACTGGGATCCAGAGGAAGCAGCTCACCTGCGCCTCTCGCCAGGGACGGACGTCACCCCCCAGGTGCACCCCCGGGTTCCCTGGCTCCTTGGAAGCCCACCCCTCCGGTTCACATTCTCGGCATTAAACTCCCGGGTCAGGTACCATCGGGCTTCCCCCAAGCCAGCCCCACGGACACACTCTTACACTGGTCTTTGGGGCAGTTTTTCTTATGTAAATAGTTTTAGAAGAACGTTTTCCGACAGTAAAGTAGCCCCTTCTCTGAGGGGACTGTGCGCAGCGGGTTCGTCCACCGGCGGTGCTCCCGTGGCCGGAGGGACTCGAGGGTCAGCTGCGCCCGGGGCGCGGG